GTTCCTTGAGTGTTTTTATGGTGTAGGCAGGAGAGAAAGCTACTGATCTATGGCTTTGATAACGTTTGCCTCCAGTATCCTCTTACAATGCTCTGCTCTTTAGCCTTTTTGAACCTTTGTGGAGCCATTAACTATTTCTTTCCTCTTGCATTTTTTCAACAACAATATGTTGTGGTTTTCCCCAGACTTTTATCTTGTTTGGTTCTGTGTGTGCCTTTTTGGTATCTTACTGCTCACAGCACCCACAGGGACTGGACATCAGAAGTGCTTGTGTCATCCCAACCCAGAGATGGGAAGGAGGGGATGCTTTATAAGTGCTTGCAGCTATGAGATGTATATAAATTAGATGTTAGGAAGAAATTCTTTCCTCAGAGGATGGCGAGGCCCTGGCACAGAGTCCCAGGAGAGGCTGTGGCTGCCCCATCACTGGAAGTGTCCAAGGCCAGGTTGGACGGGGCTTGGAGCAACTTGGGATAGTGAAAGGTGGCCTTGTCTATGGCAGGGGGTGGAATGAGATGATCTTTCAGGTCTCTTCTGACCCAAACTGTTCCATCATTCTATGGCATACACATTCTCCTAAATATATGCTATTATCACTTACCTGCCCAGCAGCAAGGAGCTGCTGGGTCTGAATGTGCGTCTGAACTTTAATGAAGTGCACAACAAATTAATTACAGATAATTTAGATTGTTTAAGAGGGTGATAGTATGTTCCTAAGAAAGAACACATGGGATTCTAGGACAAACTCTGTTACTGTGCTTCATACACAGTGATGATATCCCAAGAGAAATCATCTAAATGCCTAAAAGTATTTGCCCTGTAGAGTGCTGTGATATCAGGTCTTTATCAGTTACTTGGGAAATTGAGAGGACTTTGTCCTTAAAGCATATCAAAAACCCAGCAGGAAGCATCTAATAATTTGCTATCACACTATTGCTAAACTTGTAATAGAACATTGTCAGGAATTGTATCGTGGCACCCAGCCTGTGAGTGCAGAGTGCCCAGGGCACAGAGAGATCGAACTGCATTTAACCGCGTTAAAGCAATCCATCGAGCTCTGTGTACTCTGCTGGAAGGGATCATCACTGCACAATGCAGCCACTGCTCCCAAACACTGCATGACATGAGATGGTGGCTTTCTGATGCTAAATGGAGTGTTTAATTCAAGCTTTGAAACGCATCTGTGTTACCGGGCTTGCAAGGGTTCCTCAGGGGTGAAGAGACAGACGAGAATCTTGACTCCATGATCAGAAGGCTGGATTTATTATTTCATGATATATAATACATTAAGACTATACTAAAAGGAATAGAGAGAAAAGTTCAGAAGCTTGCTATGCTAAGAATAGAATAGGAATGAATAAACAAGAGAGCTCTCTTTGATTCTGTCCCAGAGAGAGCTTGGTCTTTGATTGGCCCTTAATTGTAAACATGGCACATGGGCCAATCACAGGTGCACCTGTTACATTCCACAGCAGCAGACAACCATTGTTTACATTCTCTTTCTGGGGCCTCAGCTTTCCAGAAGAGGGAAAAATCCTAAAGAAAGGATTTTTATGAAAAGATGTCTGTGACACATCTGCACCAGGGAGGGGAGGCAAAGTTACTGTTGGTGCTGTACAGTACTTGTGATCAGGAGGTGTTTGGGTGCAGGGGGAACAGTGATGTCCAGTCTTGTTCCCAAATCCATGTAGCAGGGATGTCAAGGGTGCTGCTGTAAGTCCAGCATTGGGAAAGCTGCAGGATGCACTGAATTACTGGGGCAGGAGAGAAAAGCTGCCTGCCACTTGGCTTTTGTTCTGCAGTTATTACTACCTTGCTGAGTTGCTTTGTGCTTCTGTCAGACTTCTCTTTATGAAGCAAACATCTCAGAGGTGATTGAGTACCCCTCAAGAATGGAATTCATCTCAGACTTTGGGGTTAATTTCCTCTTACTGGAAAAAGGACTAGTAGCAAGCAGTCTTGAGGAAGCAGTTCTCATTATCTCTTCATGTGCCTTCTGCTTGGATTAGTTGCACAAGATTATGAAAAAGAATAAATTTGAGTCTTTTCCATGCCTACAACACTGGTCAGAAATATAAACACCAAAGGATACGCAGCAGGTCTGGAGGATTATGTTACTCTTGATTTGAAGGGCAGCAAAAAGGAAAAATGGCTTTCTATTAGAACCTTAAAAAAATGTCTGCCAAAATGTTGGTTGTCAGTACCTAACTGTATCTGTACTTAGCAAAGAGCTAAATCCAAGGTGGTGTAAGTGCTCATGCATGAGATGAAAAATGTAATTTTCAAATTTGGTAGTTCCTGTTATAGAGCAACTACACTGGGTTAAAATAAGCGTTTTAATAATCTTTTAAGCTGTAAGCAGACTTTCAGAATACAAAGTTGCAAGAATACCTAAATGGAATGGGGAACCAGGATCTCCTGATTAATCATTGCTTGGGTTTTTAGGACACTCTCTTATGTTTATTAAAAGCAATATCAAATAATGTAATTGGAGGCTTCAGCCAAAGTTGGAATTATTTCTAAGAAGTTTAGACTGTGAATATGTCATTATTGTAGAGTATTTTATGTGCTCTCACTTTGAAAGAAATAATTGCCCTCTGAGTTCGTTTTAGTTCAGATATTTCAGTTTGCTAGTTCCTGCATTTGTAAAGAAAAAACAAACAAACCCCTTTAATAATAAGATAATTATTCTAAATAATAAAATTGTTGAACTTCCCCTCAGCCATGTTATCTTTAGTAAAATTGTAAGCTTATATTCCCCATACTGAAAGTAAGTAATAATTCAAATCTTTTTTTTCTGATATTTTTTAAACACTTCCTTAGAATTTTCTTTGTAGACAGTATGGGAATTTCCCTGTCACACTTGGCTTCACTGCTGTGTGTTTTATACACATTCAGACAGTTTTCAGCAGTCTTCTGAAAGCAGCCAAAAGACAATGGGGAGAGCTAAGGGAATGAAATGGAAAATGTGGCTAGAATAGCAAGCTAAATATTTCCTGAAAATTCAGTCACTGACTTAAAATCATGCAGGTTGCTGTGGTCTTTGCTTGAGTTTAAATTGTAATGGTTGCTTGCCTGCTTCAGAGTTTAAACTTAATCTTGAAAAAGCTTTTGCCTGTGCTGCAGCCATTGTTGGCAGATCCTCAGTATGCATTTTTCTGGTTCTACTTCTCACTTGGGTATTGCCTTTTTTTTTTTTTTTATATTGCACTTATCTGAAGAGCTCAGTTAAAAACTAATACATTTAACAATCTACAGTTGCAGGGTAGGTACTAAGAAGAAAGCTCTTTCTCCTGGTTCTGTTCTTCTATGTTAATTCCTGCTTTTTTTTAAAGTCAGTCTGATTAGAAAGGATAATGACTGCTTACTCTTAGTACAGAACTTGAAAGTTTTGTGGCTGCTCAGAGAAGCTGTAGCTGCCCCTGGATCCATGGAAGGGTTGGACAGGGCTTGAAGCAAGCAGCCTGGCATAGTGGAAGGTGTCCCTGCCCATGGCAAGGGGTGGAATGAGATGAGCTTTAAAGTCCCTTCCAACCCAGAATGTTCTGTGTTTCTATGGTTGTTACAAATAATGCCTTTTTTTTTTTTTTTTTTCTTTTTGCTACTTTATCCAATGCCCTTATCATTCTATGCCGACTCATACTGGAGTGCATTTCAGTTCTGTGCTGTTCAGGCACTCACCCATCCTGTTGTCCCTGTCTCCAGTTAGGGGACATTTACCATAACATGATGTTGACTTCTCTAAAGCAGGAGGGAAAGTGGTTTGCTGCAATAAGAGGCAGTAAATGAGTCTCTGCCTGCCTATAGCCATATCTGTATATCTACATTTTATTCTGAAATGGTTTTTTCTCTTCTGCCTGTCTTACCTTCCTTTATATGAGAGGTAAGCAAGGTAATTCAGGTGAGTATGGGACTTTGTGGCACAACTGCACTCTCACACAGCCATCCTCTAGTTTTACCCCTAACTGAAACTCCAGCCTCCCTCCAAATACAAGTCTGTACTGCCTGCTCATTTCCTTGTGGTGGGAGGGGTGGGCAGGAGACAGCCCTGACTCACTGGCTCTTGACTGCTGAGGGTGACATCTTCTGTCTCCTCTTCCCAGCAGCCCAAAGTTAAACATTGCCCTTTACCAGAAGAGAGAGAACTTGCCTCACAGGAGAGGGGGAGGACAATTCAGAAAGGGTTGAGGAGGACTTGAAGGCTGGCTGGAATTTTCCTGAGATTTCTTGGGCTCTTCTGTGGCAAGTAAATCCTCCCTGTCTGAGGCCTGCTGGCTTACAGTAGCTGCTGGCAAGGTATCAGGAGCTATGCACCATTACACTGGAGCACACAAGTTCTGTTGGTTTTGCAAGCACAGTTAAGAGCTGGTCATGCTCTGGCAGCCCTGACAATGCCCAATTGCTTTGCTGTCACTTTTTATTGCAACATCTAGACCTGTGAAAAGTATAAGCAGCCAGACCTACTTGCAGACCCCACAGATTTATCCCAGCCAAAAAATGTATCAAAGTGTGAGCTCAAATTAAAACTTCTGGCAGTCTGACTGCCACTGATTTCAATGAGCTTCAAGAGCACACATTAATGAAAGTCATTAGTTCCTGGAATGGGCAATAATTGCTAGAGTGAAAAATGTCTGTTTGATGCAGCCTCTAAGTATGCCTGTGTATCTTAAGAAATAAGACAGGAGAAGAAGGTTTACAGGGGAAAAAAGAAAAAGCCAAAATGAATCTGGGCGTCTTAGAAGTTGTCTTGCATGATGAACATTTTACTTAACCCTCCCTAATACAAATCTAAGGAGCTCCCAAGGGATGATGGCAGAAGGTAGCATGCTGGAGACACCAGCGAGCACAAGGCAGGGATAGTTTCTATGCTGAAATGTCCAGGAACAGAATGGTTCATCTTCCCATGCTTTTGCCACTGCAAAGTAGGATTAAATTTCTCTTCTACAAAAGGACGTTATTTTAGGATTTGAATTAAAAAGGAATGTTTCTGTGATTCCCAGGTGGAGAATTACTGAAAAATGTTTACTTCCCTGGAGCTGACATTGGCTCTGCGATGGACGGGTGTCCTGCTGTTACCGGATCTGCAGGAAACACATGCTGAGCTCTCACGGAGACCCCACAGCTGAACCCTGTAAGATATCTCACTTTCAGAACAGGAGTCAGGACTATGTGTTGCCTCCTTTAATTACAGCCTGAGAATTGGCTTTAGATGTGGAAGAATGCAACAAAAAGAAATGGTGAGCATTTCTGTATCGCTCTTACACTGTAAGAATGATGATCTAAAACCAGTCTTCTTTTTATAAAAAAGCCCTGAATTAAATATGGTAGAGAAGAGCCATCCAAAAGCGTTCTCTGAAAGGCTCCTGCATGCTGCTGCCAAACTTTTAAAAGAGGAGTTAAATTTGGGACTTTCAGCATGTGATTCCAAAATACCCTGGTTAGCATTCACTCAGAATCTAGAACTGTCTGGATTGGCTGCTATGGCTGCTTCAGGCAAAATGTTTGATTTCTTTTCCAAAGGTGCAGCTATGAGGATGAGATCTCATCTTGATGGTGTATCTTCCTTAAGAGCTTCAAATAATTTTAAAGCACCTGATTTACGGAATGTAGCAGCATGGAAAATTGATGGTGTTTGCTGCTACCTTCCTGAAAGCATCTTCTGAGAAAGCTGCTCAGGCAGGCACAGACAGTTCCTCAGTCCACACTCACACCACAGATAGGTCAGCAAAAAAAGATGGAAAAGGTGTCTGTATAGAGTTCCAGCAAGGCTTATTGTAGGGTCATGCTGGAGGAGTCCAGGGACAGAAGACAACGAAGCAATGCAGTGTCCTGGGTTAAGTATGGGGTCAGGGGCATTTCAAGGGCAGGGCAGAGGGCAATGACCTATAGAAAACTGAGGTAAATTAGGATAGTGCTGCAGAGCACCATGGGAAAAAACCTTTTTGTCTCACCCTAAGCAGTGAGGCATTCTCAAAGCCTGTGGCAGATTCTTCCAGGGCATTAGAAGTTCCCTTATAGGCTCAAAGGCCTCCAGAATGGAAGACCATGCCAATAAAGGTCAAGTTCTATGTGTTTTTCAGTCTATCAATACTGGAATGGCTAAGAGTTCTTTGGAGGCCTTTCAGTAAATATTTTCATTGCTTTAACCTTGCTATGTAACATCTTAATTGGACAGAACAGTTTTATGGGCCTGTTGGATTTTATAGGGATTGTCTGCCTTTGCAGAGTGTGCGGCTTCCACAGCCGTGTTTGCAGCTTCAGTTGGACACTGAGGGCACATGGGCAGAGGTTCCAGCACTCAGCAGAGCTGCTGCAATAGTGGAGGTTATTGTGCATCCCCTTCTGGCTTTGCACTGGCTGATTAAAGCTGGTTTGGATATAGGCTTTAGTGGTGACAGCCATGCTCTCTGCTGAGACACAGGTGTGTTTGAACCTGGAGCCAGCAGGTAGATCAGGTAAACCTGGCACAAGGCACTAGAGGCCAGAACCTGATGTTTCAGCTCCTGGTGCTGTCACAAAGGTTTCTGTGGCATCTCCAATGGGAGAGCTGTTGTGTGTCCCTGTCACAGGGCATGGCCAGCATCCAGAGCAGCACTTAGGAAATCTAAGTGCTTTAATGAAGGTGTTTGAAAATGACTTGACCCTGTGCTGCAGTCTGGAAGCAGAGTTCTTGTCCTGCACAAGTCTCTCTTCTGGCACTAGCAATGATCTGGCTGACTGTACAGCTGCACACTGTCATTAAAGTTGGAAAAGACCTCCAAGATTGAGTACAACCTTTGACCAATCACCACCTTGTCAACTAGATCAGAGCACTACGTGTTACATCCCATCATTTCTTGAATGCTTCCAGGGATGCTTCTTGAACATTGTTGAGGGACAGTGATTCCACCACCTCCCTGGGCAGCCTGTTCCAATGTCTGACCACTCTTTCCATGAAGAAATCTTATCCAATGGAAGAAGAAAATTGTACCAGATTAACAAGCTAATCTCGGTGACTATGTGGTCACACAAGTGCTATTACAAAGAAATTACTTAGAGGACGTGGCTGTGGTTAGTAGGAGCACCGTGTATCTCCTCAGTGGCCACACTGTCTGAGAACAGCATACACTACCTATGAGACTGCATCCTTCTAGTATAAGTTTCACTTTATACTTCCCCAGAGAATTGGAAAGAGAGATTGCAAATTGAACATACTTTTCAATATTTTTTTTGCAATGGGAGTCTTCTGTTCACTTAAGTAGGATGTTAATGTAAAGGTCCATGCCTCAGCTTGGACTTTCAGTTAGGGAAATTAATTTCTTGGAGAGATGTCCTCAGGATCAGCGTCTTGGCTGGCCTTTGATCAATTACTGCAGTAGGAGTTACTGACAGAATGGAAGAAAAGTTTGGCTTAAAAATAAAAAGGCATCTTTAACTTTCTTTACTTTAGAAAACAGTTTTGCCATTGCAGGAACAAGTATGCACAGGTCTGGGTTCATAAAGAAAATAAGACATTATCTGTTACTCAGATGTCTGGTTTTTTACTTCCCTTTTGCAGAAAAATCCAAGAGTCCATCGATGACTTACTAAAGTCTCAGTTTTCATGATTTATGTGATTTGCTTCTCCTGGAGCCATGGATGAGTACAGCCGCTTTGTGGACTGGGACAAAATGGATGTGAGTGCCCAGAGCCAGGACACAAAAGAGCTCACCTGCACAGACTTACATGAGCTCAAGCAGCTCGCCCGGCAGGGCTATTGGGCCAAAAACCACTCTCTGAGAGCCAAAGTGTACCACAAACTCATCAGCAACATCCCATGCCGTACAGTGACCCCAGATGCAAACGTGTACCGGGACATCGTGGGGAAGATCGTTGGAAAACGCAACAGCAGCTCCCTCCCCCTGCCAGAGTTCGTGGACGACAGCCTGATCCCCACGTACTGCCTGAACGCGGAGGGCGTCGGGGCCGTCAGGAAGATCATCCTGTGCGTCGCCAATCAGTTCCCGGACATCTCGTTCTGCCCGGCGCTGCCCTCGGTGACCGCGCTGCTCCTGCACTACAGCAAGGACGAGGCCGAGTGCTTCGAGCAGGTCTGTCGCATCCTGGCCTGCAATGACCCATCCAAGCGGCTCATCGACCAGACCTTCCTGGCCTTTGAGTCCTCCTGCATGACCTTCGGGGACCTGGTGAACAAGTACTGCCAGGCAGCCCACAAGCTGATGGTGGCAGTGTCCGAGGACGTGCTGGAGGTGTACTCAGACTGGCAGCGGTGGCTCTTCGGAGAGCTCCCCATGGTGTACGTTGCGCGCATCTTTGACGTCTTCCTGGTGGAGGGGTACAAAGTTCTCTATCGTGTTGCGCTGGCTCTTCTGAAATTCTTTCACAAAGTCAGAGCTGGGCAGCCCATGGAGTCTGACAGCATCCAGCAGGACATCCGAGCCTTTGTGAGGGATATCGCCAAGTCGGTGTCCCCGGAGAGGCTGCTGGAAAAAGCCTTTGCTATCCGCCTGTTCTCTCGGAAGGAGATCCAGCTCCTGCAGATGGCCAATGAGAAGGCTTTGCAGCAGAAGGGCATCACGGTCAAACAGAAAAGGTAGGGCTCAGCACAGGTAACCTGAGCAATCTCCTGAATTTTCCCAGTGTGGGGAGCAGTCCTGGCTGACTGGTGGGGAAGTTCCACTGGTGCATGCTGGTGTCTGCTGATGCACTTTCTCTGCAGAAAAACTCAGCAGCTCCAAAATCAACTGTTGCTGGGATTGTAATGGGAACTTAAAATTAAGTACTATGATACAAGAGGAACAGAAGTTTCTTGTAGTTTGCTCAATTATGAATTTATATGGGTATACATTAATTACAAGTATCATATCTCAAAAGTGTGTTTCATAAGCAGTTTCCAAACTAAAAGGCATTTTAGCAAAGTTGGTGTAGTGGTTTTGGTTTGCCAGTTTGAGATTTCCTGACCAACACACCAATTAATGTAATGTGTCTAGTGCTGGCTAAATGCTAGTGCACCCACTATAATATACTTATTTCCTGCTGTGAGGTAGGATTAGGAGGAAGGCAGAGAAGACTCAGAGCTTCAAAAGGGTGTAAAGAAAGCTTTATTAACAGTAACTAAAAGAAAGAATAATAAGAATCAGAATAAAACCATTAGAACACTTATCTTCCCCCCTACAACCTTTTATTTCCCACTCACAACATACAGAAACAATTCAGTTTATCACTTCTAGAATAGTCTTTCTTCAGTTCACTTAGGTAGAGGAGTCCCTCTTGTCAATTTATGGAGACTTCTCCACAAGAAAACAGTTCTCTCGTGGCTTTTAATTTCCATGAACAGCAGCCACCCAGAAAATCTGCGATGGTGAAGTCCTTCCCATTTTTCACAGCTTTTCCCACAGCTGTGTTTATGGTGTACTATTTTTAGGATGAGCTGTTCAAGAGCAAAGGTTTTCTTTATCTATCTCTGAGATCATCTTCATCTCTAGGAACAGAGGTCTTCTTCTTCTTTCCCTGTCTCTCTGTTCAAGCTTCTCATAGGATCATAGCTACTTTAACATCTGCTTACTATTGTATTATATTAAAGAATGCTATACTAAATTATACTAAAGCATACAGAAAAGATACTTAGAGAAGGCTAAAAAGATAATAATGAAAACTCATGACTCTTTCCAGAGTCCCAACACAGCTTGGCCCTGATTGGCCAAAGAGTGAAAACAACTCACAGCAGAAACCAATGAATCAATCACCTGTGGGTCAACAATCTCCAAACACATTCCAAAGGAGCAAAACACAGGAGAAGCAAATCAGATAATTATTGTTTTCCTTTTTCTCTGAGGCTTCTCAGTTTCTCAGGAGAAAAATCCTGGGCGAGGGAATTTTTCCAGAAAATGTGAATGCCACAGGTTACTGTAGCTTGGAGGCCTTTGCTCATATCTACAATTTGAACGGTTCATCTCCCCATATTTTTCAATGAGTCCCAGGGAAAAGGAGTCTGATGTATCAATTACATCCTTCTCCATAGCTTTACAAGAGGATTTCAGCCCTAAGATCAAGGCATCTCCTCATCCCTCCCATCTGGGACTTGACTCTTTCTTCACTGACCTTGGTGTCTTTGTGTTGTTCTTCTACATGTTCTCACTCTGTCCTTTCCTCTCATCTGAGGGAGGACTGAAGGTTTGCAAGTCTCATCTGTGCACTGAAAGAGTCAGTGTCTCACCCGGGGCCTGCAGGTGCTCACCTGAGGCTGGCAGAACTGTGACTGGGCCGGGCCGGGATGGGCCGGGCCGGGATGGGCCGGGCTGGGCTGGGCCGTGCTGGGCCGGGCCGGGCCGGGCCGGGCCGGGTCGGGTCGGGCCGGGCTGGGCCGGGCCGGGTTGGGATGGGCCGGGCCGGGCTGGGATGGGCCGGGCTGGGATGGGATGGGATGGGCTGGGCTGGGCCGGGCCGGGCCGCGCTGCGCTGGGCCAGGGCCAGGATCTCAGCAGCCAGGCCAGAGCACAGCAGCAGCACGGCCGGAGGGCCATGACTTCTCCTCCCGACGGCAGCAGAACCTTGGCCGGGCCGGGCCGGGGCCGTTGCCGGGGCCCGGCAGGGCCCAGCTCAGCCGGGGCTGGCGGTGGGGCAGGGCTCAGTCACAGCAGATGCTCCAGCCCTGGCCTGGGCCCCGCGGCCTCCCCTGGCCCTGCCGGCAGCCGATGGGGGGCCGGCCCCACGGAGAGCCCACCCGGCCCAGCCGAGACAGGGAGGGGCCGGGCTGCCCTTGTGACCTGCTCCAGGCCAAAAGAGAAAAAGAGAGAATTCCCGGCGTTTTTCATTTGTAACATCGGTGTTCACAGAGGCATGTTCAGCTTTCTAGTGGTTTAAGAGCCAATATTCAACACCGCTCACTGATTGGTTTTACCAGGCACAGAGGAAGCTCTCAGCAGCTCCAATGATAAAACCAGCACTGATAAATTACTTGGAAGAAACATACCCAAAGAAATGTGGAAATTGATTCTTAAATATGATATTATTTGTATGAAATGTCAATTTGATGCTGCCCAGTACTGTGAATTCAGCAGTTTCTTTAGTGTAAGACACTGTCACAGCTGAGAACATTGTGCCTGACTGCAGAGCTGTTTTAACAGAGCAAGGAAGAAATATGTCTTATTTTCAGGTTACTTTTTAAATAAATTTAACTGCAAGCCTCCTGGAAATCAAGAGTGTAGTACTCACAGGTAGGAGTTGACCTGTTTTGTGGCAGGTTCATGTACTATTAGAAAAAATAACTTTGAAAGTACCATGGAAGAGTGACTATACAGATCCAAGAAACTGTTACAAAATCACAAGCCCTTCTCAGAAATAAGGGGAGGAAGAACTAACTCTGAAACCAGTAAATGAAATTCTGCACTGATGTGACAGTAAAAGTCATACTCATAAAAAGCTTAGCTGAAAGGTCTCTTGATGGATATAGAAAAGGCACCAATATATTAATCTGAACAAAAATAGCATCTTGGCAAGTGCAAATGTATGTGCAGGTAAGTAGTACATGTTCTGTTTTTCCAGAGGCTTCTGACAGCAGAAAACTTCTCCCAACCATTTCTGAACTCTCAAGTTCAGAACTGTTGGACAGTTGTATGAACTGCCCTCTGAAGAGAGGTGGCTTCTCAAAGTCCCCTGGATCAGTGAGTGTGGTATCTGGAATTTGGTGTCCTAGACACACAGTCTCACTTTCTCTAAATCTCCACTGATGTAGTAGGATCTTCCAGCCAGCTGCGTTGCTGAGTTAGCTACAGTGGTTGCAAAGTTACCATTCCATGGCATGGCAATACATACTCAGTACATTTCAGCCTAAAAGATGACATAAATGTTAGCTGAACCTCCTTCATGTGTCTGCATACCTGTAAAGCTCCCCCTGGTCTCTTCCAAGGGTTAATTTTTTAGACTCACAGCTTGGTTTAGAATCAGCTTCAGTATTTTCCTGTCAGTCTCAAATATTTCAAAGTCTTTAGCCACTGGATTGTCACACTAGAGGCAGTTCAGACCTTTGTATTTGAAACTTGTAACAAAATATTGACTCCTCCATTGTGTCTTCCTTTTGGGAAGTTAAGGAGAGTTGCAATATCCTTGAGTATATTGTTTAAATTGGAATTAGAGCTTTAAATTAAAAAAATAAATAAATAATTTAAATAAACCAGAGAAAAAGAAAACATGCATCAAGCAACCACAGATGCTGCAAAAGCTCCTGCTGTGTTAAATGTTGCAGGGAAATTCTCACAACATTGATGCTTTCAAGGCAAAATACAGTAATATGCCCAGATAAAGCCAGTAGTTACTGCTATGCCAGGCAGAGTTGTCACTGAAACATTTTCACCCTCTTTTGGCTACCTTTGTAAAGCCACTGAAATTTCTCAATGTCCCCAGGCACAGGGCTGCTGGGAGTTTGGTTTGGCTCAGTTTGGATCCCAGTGTGGTCAGATGGAGGTGCAGGAGAAGTGAGCTGTTCTCCAGTGCTCCATGGGGTGCCAGTCAGTTCTTTTCTCCACTTGTGTTTGGCCTGTGCAAGGAGAAGATGATTTATTTTCCCATCACATAACAAAACAGGGAGAAAATAGAATAGAAATGTTTTAACCCGTCTGATTATTTTTCAGTGCTTGATGACTCAAATCAAACCTTGCTTTGTTTCTCTCCAGGCTCCTTTCACTCTCTTTGTCATGGATGTAGGAAGTCACTGATCTTTTCTATCTTTTTTGTCTTTCTCTTTGTATGTTCTCCTTCTGTCCATTCCATCTCCACTGCACCACTCCTGTATGCAGTCTTGCAACTCCCAAAAGGTAGGTTAAAACACTGGAGTTTCTGCACTTTGCTCATTCCTGCTGTCTTTGGCTTGTTGTTTTTCCCAAGGTGGTCAATATTGCTAACATTGGGCAGGAGAAGCAGGCCAGCAATCAGAGCACCAGATTGCTGTGCCACATCTCCAGAATACCCTCCTGCAAAGTTAGTTCATAGCACCTGCAAAGCTGTGAGAGAAGGGGTAGTGGGCCCAAGGGCACAGCACTTCAGACAGCAATAAATACACCTGTGTTTTCCAGAGTGGGAAAGAGTACTGTACATGGAGAAAGTTCATGCTGGGATTATGGTTATGGCTATAAAAGGCCTTTATAATAATGGTCCTTTCTACTCTGGAAGAAAAAAATGTCATTTTTTTTAAACATCTCAACGGCTCAGAAGAGCTGTTAGGTATCATCCCAACTCCAAACCTGGTATATGCTGTTGCATTAGGTGTGAAATAGAGTCAACTTTTTATCTTCTTTGGAAGCTTTCTGCAGTTAATTGGAAAATTTTTGGACTGACCCCAACTAGGCACACTCCTAAAACTGACCTGTCTCTATTCACAGTAGTTTATATTTGCTTTTAAGTAGGTAGGGGTTTTTTAGAGCCAAGACAAGACTCCTTTTCTGTGTCAAGGAGGTCAGAGTTACTCAGCCGTAGAGCATTAATGGTTAATGAAGTCATTTATCAAGTCTTGGCCTGAAAAGTAAATCTTAAAGAATGAAACCCAGTGAATGGATTGTGATATCTGATAAGCAGAGAACTTGGAAAGAGAAAGGCTGCCCTGTGAGTATTAAATACCAGAGATGTTTGGGTTTAAATTCATGCCTTTGGGAATCCTCTGGCCTTGCTGCAGGTGCCCTGAGTTAACTTTAGTGAGTGATGCACACTAACATCTGTACTAATTTATAAAATCAAAGCTGGAGTTAACTTCCTCATGTTTTCATGTTTGAAAGAACACCTTAAGAGACTTAGCAAAGCATGTTTCATACCATAACTTCTGTGTTGAGGATTTTACTTCTGATAAATCAAAAATCTGTTAATCCCAGTCAAGCAAATCTTCAGCATCTGTGTATTATTTTTGCAGTTAGGTTGTTCTGAAAGCAGCAGAAAGCCTTGATTTATGCTAGGAAGCAGTTTGGATTTGAGGGGACTTAGGGAGAGCAGGATGTCTGTTGACGTTGATCTGGACATAGGATTAAGTTTCAGGTTTATATATCACAAATTACTTACATAGCTGTTTATGACTGAAAAAGAAATCTCCTTTTACCACACAATTATGCCCTCACTGAAATTATAATGGATTTCAAGGTTAATGCATCTCCTGTAAGATTTGACCCAAGCCAGAGTAGAGAAGGAAGGTGCCATTCAGTGAGTAATCTTTGGAGTTGGGGATTTTTTATTTTTTCAATAATATAGGGCACATCCACTTTGACAGGTGCCACTGCAGGTCCTCAACCTTGGCTTTACCTTTGGGAGTTTTGAGGTCTCTGAAGCACATAGTATTAATGATAATAGCTGCAAAAGCAACATTCCTATTAAATTAGCAAATGCTGCTTTATTAAACAGTAATTGTGCTGGTTTTCAAATCTAATTCCTTGGAATAATAGCAGTTGAACAAGTCTTTCTAACATCAGCAATCAAGAGAAGGTTGTCATAGCAATCCCAGTAACTGAGGAAAACACTGATGCAGGGTAAGACCTTCTGAATTTGTTCAGTCCTAGTGGTAGACTTTAATGCTGTCCAAATTTACTGGTCTCTCAAACTACAATGTTTTCACAGATGACCCAGAAAAGAGTGGAGTGGTGAAGGCTAAACTGAATTTTCCTCAGTGAATAAAAGCCAAAACACTTGGGTTTTTTCATAGCCCACTTGTGTTCTGTTCATTTTCACTCATTTACTGCTTTGAAAAGCAACTACCAAAGTGAAGGAGATGATTTTCAGTGTCATTAGATAAATACTGTTAAAAATGAAGAGAATTAATACAGGTTAGATTCTTGTAACTAGTTGCAATTAATAGAGATTGGATACTTGTAACTAGTTGCAATCTGGAACTCCCCCCAGAAAAGTTATATTTTTGCTCAGCAGCACGGAGTTTGGTTTGATAGGTGCAAGCTGTATGTGGCCACTTCTCAACACAGGGTCAGGTTTCAGTCTCAACCATCTGCAGCTGGGATTTGTTACTGGGAGATAACACATCATTTTGTTTCACATTCTTTGACCATGTTCTTTGGTTTAACTAGATGGTGCCATTAAATAGAAAATTATTTACCGTGATAGTCAAAAGGCAGGAACTGTATGCCTGGTACAGTTTTAAATGGTTAATACAGTGGTAAATTCTTTCTAGTAAATCAGAAAGATCTCTTTGAACAGCTGATACTCTGGCTGCATTAAAGAGTTGTGGGAAGGTACAGAGTACTGAAAGAGATGTGTTCAGAATGCTGCTTCGAGAAGGGTTTGGGTAGTAAAGTCTTTAAATCAGCAGGTTATAGTAGCCAGGAGAAGGAAAAAGTACAAAAGCAAAGATAGTCTGAGTGAGAGCCTTGTAGAAAAAAGAACTGGAGTTTAGTTGCCCAAACAGTTCACAGAAATGTGAAAGATGTACAGACCAGGTACACAAATAATTCTGAGGCTTGCTTGAGATGTAAATTTAAATCTGTATTATTAAGTCTTAGCCTATTTATCACCATTGCTTTCCTCCTGGAAATTCATTCTAATAAACAGTTGACTGCCCTGAATATTTTTTAATTCCTTAAATGTGGAGGGAGTAAAAATCTTAATTTCTGCTGAGCTGAAACCAAGTCTTAGTCTCTCAGCTCTGTTCCATAGTGATGTCAGTTTTAGCTGCAGACCTGCCAGGACACAGACGATGGGACCTGAAGTAAGATTCTGAACATGAGGTTCAAGGCTTAGTCCCTACTTTGTTTCAGTGGATCTCTCCTTTGCCTCAGATTGCTGTGTTTAAAAGTATAAATAATGTCCCTAGTCAGTGATACTGTAAGTATTAAAACCCATAAATAATTACAGCTTGCCTAATAGCTGCCCACAGAAGTTCCTTGCATTAAATAATGCAGGGTAGCAATGCAAAGATTGATTTCATTCATTTGGTTAAAATAAGCAGTAATGAATAGTCACTTCATTGAAAATGCTGACACCAAGGTGCCTACAGTGGATTCCAGAAAGCAGCTCCCAGTGTCTCCTAGCAGGCACTGCTCTGCATTGCAAATGCTGCTGAGTTTTTGGTACTATGAGCATGAAAAATAAAAAGTTTATATCTTTTGTATGTTTTAGGGAGTGAGCTAAGGTATCCAGATCCATGCAAATGTACAATACTGAGGGCCCCTTCATGATCATCAAACTGAGAGAAAAGAAATGTGTAATTGTCAAAAAAACCCATCAGAAATACGCAAATACTTGCACCCAAACCCTTGCATGCAGAGCAAACGAATAAAGCTTTATTTAACACCTGGCTGCCCAGTAATTCAGTGAGTTGTGTAAATTCTGTGTCCTTGGCTGTCTCCATTGCATTTTAAGCATTTAACATAGACCTTGGAAGCAAATAACATTTAATCCCCATGCTCTAGGTTTGCATGCTTGTTTAATTTGAGAAATGAAGACTGGTTAAGATGGTGATTATTGTTACCTTTTACCTATTTAAAAGCCATGAATCAATCCTAACTGTATCAGACCCTTCTGGGGGGTACAGGGATTTCCTTCCCAGTGGCTCCATCTGTAACCATGATCCCAGGAACATGTTTGTTTCATAATGAAGTGGAAGTCATTGGTAATTATATGTTTCCAAGAGGTGGAACTTCTCAAAAGCTTCAAATATTTGCCTTGGATTAAAATTGCTTACCCTGGTAATACTGATTCCTCTAAAGTTTCTGAGGGGTTTAGGAATTCTCTAGTCACACGATATGGGCAGGACTTCAGAGGCAGAAAAAATGCTACCCCTTCCTCTCAGATCCTGTCTGTTTATTTGGGTATTCTGTTCTCTGTGCTTAAACACAAGTGCCAGAGAGAATTAAAAACAACAAATATAAGGCCATGGTAATTTTTAGTGGCTCAGTGTTTTGTCCTCTGTGTGTAAAGGTGCAGGCCACAGCTGCCATACAGAGGAATAGAAAATACAGTCAAGCCAGATCTCTGCCTCTGAGGATTATGTTAAATTGCAGTAGTTTATTACCTTCACCAGGTCACGACCACCTAACTCTGTGGACTGGAGCTTTGACCAATAATTTATATCCTGGAGTCTGTTAGCATTCAGCTGTCTTCTCATGTTTCAGTTCAGTAATCTGAAACTTGTTAAATTATTGCTTCTTGGTGTTTTGTGTTGTATTTCTCAGGCAGAATGTGCACTTGGCAGTTCATGCTGAGAACTTCAAATCAGAAATTGTCAGTGTGAAGGAGATGCGGGATATCTGGTCCTGGATCCCAGAGCGGTTTGCACTCTGCCAGCCCCTCCTGCTTTTCACCACCTTAGAACATGGCTGTAGTCTGAGCAGGTAAGGAAAACCTTCCTCTCTCTTCTCTACTGTAGGGCAGAAAGGAGCAACTGAGGAAGTATTTGCTGGATTGACAAAAAGCCCATGCTTAGTCAGGATTTGATCTGAGGAATATCATTAAGGATGGAATATAAATGTGACAAATTCCTGTTGCCTACAGCATTTGACTGGGATATTTCCTATGCCATAATATTTTAAACTGTTCAAGATCAATTGGAAAAGTCAAACTTGGATCTGTTCACAGATTCTGCAGGCACTTTTGATAGATAACCACATTCATACTGACCCAAGGAAGAAGAGAACTGGAAACTGGAAATTACCTATGAATGATTGGGGTTTTTTTTTAAGTGAGATAAACTAGATGTGAGTTGTCCTTGCACCTGGTACGGAACACTATAACCCTATAGCCCCTAATAATGACTTTGACATCCGCAGGTACTGAGGCAGGGAGTGACCTGCTTTCCCAGCCTTATATGCCTGTGAGGAAGAGCAAAAGCAAGCAAAGAGAATGCATCTCAATTAATTTCCTTCAGGACCTAAAGCCCTTCAAACATGGTCGTCAGTCCTAGGCTTTTACAATCTTTTAGGTTGTTTCAATTCAAAATGCTGTAAAAGGCTGCAGTTCATCTAGGTAAGCTTCTAGTTATTTTTCAGAGCATAAACTGTACAGGGGACTGAGTAGAGAGCAACTGCTTGATAGTATTCACTTACACTCAGCTATATTATTTACATGGACTGTATAAAGTATTTGCAGGAATGTTCTCAGTCTTCAGGTGGTTTTTTGCCATGGCACCAGTTGGAGAAGGAGGCAGTGCCTGACGTTGAGGAGGAAAGGAGCTGCAGTTGGTGGCAGTGGAGTGCTCACTTTGTTGTGCTCTGCACTTCAGGTTCTATTCCCACAGCGAGGGACACGAACCAACTCTGCTCCTCATCAAGACAACAGCGAAAGAGGTGAGAGAGGCGAAAGACAAGTGATTAAATTGGTGTTTGGGCAGTCTGTAATGCTGTGCTGCAACACACAGCTGTTTATAATAAAATGAATAAGCAAGCTTTGGCTTGGTTTTTTTAAGAATCCATGCTTTAAATTATTCTATTTGTTGGTTATAGGACTGTGTTCTTGGGCAGACCTTGCAAACCAGGTCTTGGTTAACTGCTTTTTCTCTTGCAAATAGTGTGGGGTGATGGACTAAAGTAACTCATTTTGCTCTTGGACAGACTGAAATGCAGAACCAGAGGGACAGAGTGGGATTTGTGCTAAAGTTATGATTCATAGAAGACATTTTCATTTTCTCAAGGATATGAGGAAAGAAAGTAGCAGAATTTAAATGGTATGAATACTGTTGGACTACATGATGTGAAAACAAAAGCCTTAGTTCATCTCATTCTTGATTGGGAAAAAAATAAGCCAAAAAAGCTCTGAGAACCTGAGGAGGAGTGCACATGTCCCTTTTTTCTGCTCCTGTGTGTGACAATATTGGACAGCATAATGTGAAAACAGCAACATGCTTGTTTAAAAAATTAATAACTAACCAAGAAGTCTTCCCAGAACCTTCTAAGGAGGGCACACATGAACTTCCTGTAATGGTGTTGTTGTCTGTGCCACTGTACATGACTTTTAAATATTCTTTATCTAACATTAAGCTGTTACTGCAGCCTTTGTTCCTGCTTATTACTCTGGTCTTTATTCCTGTCTATATAGAATCACACAGAATTACTGGGTTGGGAGAGATCTCAAAGATCATCAAGTCCAACCCAACCCCAACACCTCAACCAAACCCTGGCACCCAGTGCCACGTCCAGGCTTTTTTTAAACATATCCAGGCATGGTGACTCCACCACCTCCCTGGGCAGAACATTCCAGAACTTTCTCACTCTTTCCATAAAAAACTTTTTCCTAATATCCAACCTGTATTTCCCTCGGTGCAGCTTGAGACTGTGTGCTCTGGTTCTGTCAGTGCTGCCTGGAGAAAGAGCCCAGCTGAGCACAGGCACCTTTCAGGAAGCTGTAGAGAGTGATAAGGTCACCCCTGAGTCTCCTTTTCTCCAGGCTGAGCACCCCCAGCTCCCTCAGTGGTTCCTCAGAGGCTTCAGTGTTCCCAGCCCCTCTCCAGCCTCGTTGCCCCCTCTGGACGTGCCCAAGCGTCTCAATGTCCTTCCCAAACTGAGGGCCCAGAGCTGGACCCAGCACTCGAGCTGTGGCCTCCCCAGTGCTGAGTACAGGGGGGGATGAGCCCCCTGCTCCTGCTGGCCACAGCATTCCTGCCACAGGCTGTTGGTACAGGATGATCCATTCCTGATCCAGGCCAGGAGCCGTTGGCCTTCTTGGCCCAGGGCTCAGTGCTGGCTCACGTTCAGCCGGCTGCCAACCAGGACCCCCAGGTCCCTTTCCACTGGGCACTGTCAGTCACACCGTGCCCAGACTAAAACATTGCAGGGGATTGTTGTGGCCAAAATGCAGGACTGGGCACTTGGGCTGATTAAACTTCATCCTACTGGACTCTGCCCATCCCTGTGGGCTCTGTTCAGGTCTCCCTGCAGAGCCCTCCTACCTTCCGACAGATGGATGCGCGCTCCCAGCTTAGTGTTGTCTGCAGATTTACCAATTAAAATCTCAATCCCCTCATCCATGTCATCAATAAAGATACTGAACAGGGCTGGCCCCAGCACAGGGCCCTGAGGGACACCCCTGGTGCCTGGCTGCCAGCAGGATGCAGCACTGCTCACCACCACTCTGGCCCTGCCATGCGGCCAGTTCTGAGCCCAGCACAGAGTGCTCCTGTCCCAGCCCTGGGCTGCAGCTTCTCCAGGAGTGCGCTGTGGGACACAGTGCCAAAGGCCTTGCTGGAGTCCAGGTGTACGACATCCACAGCCTTTCCCTCATCCACCAGGCAGATCACCTGGCCATAAAAGGAGGTGAGGTTGGTCAGACACACCCTACTCCTCCTAAACCCCTGCTGGCTGGCTCTGCTAGCCTGGCCATCCTGTAAGTGCTGTGTGGTGACACTTAGTATAAACTGTTCCATTACCTTACTGGGTACTGAGGTACTAGTTACCAGAATCCTCCTTCCCACCCTTGTTGTGAATGGGCATCACACTGGGCAGCTTCCAGTCATCTGGAACCTCACCAGTGACCCAGGACTGTTGGTAAATGATGGAGAGCAGCTTGGCAAACTCATCTGCCAGCTCCCTCATCACCCTAGGGTGGATCCCATCTGCTCCCAGGGATTTATGAACATCCAAGCAGCTCAGCAGTTCTCTGACTGCCTCCTCCTGGATAACAGGGGGCCCATTCTGCTCCCTGACCCCATCTACCAGCCCAGGAGCACAGCTGTCCTGGGGACAAGCCACCTCCCCACTAAAGACTGAGGCAAAGAAGGTGTTAAGCCCCTCTGCCTTCTCCTCATCTGCAGTTACTATATCTCTGCAGGATGGCTGTCCATGAACAGGCCCATTTCTACTCTTACTTACATCTACACAATGCTCACCCTCCAGGCCATTTCATAGTTCTGCATGTGGTTTATATCCATTCAGGCCTGGGTTGAGATGCCAGTGGCTTATGGAATGCCCCTGGTGTCTGAAGGGTAGAGGAGGGAACAATTCTTTTGCTTCCTGTTTTGGAACCTGTCAAAAGTCTGGCTTTGTAAGGGATTCTGTTTTTTATAGGATGGTTTGTTTCTTACCCCTCAAAAAACCATATATTAGCCAAAACAAACAAACAAACAAACAAAAACTAGGAGAAAAATTTGGATTTTTTTTCATGCTTATGGATTTGGAGGGGTTTTGCAAAGGGTTGTTCATCCTTTATTCGTATGTCTATGGTAAACTTTTAGAATGAGGGAAATTTGCCGTCTGATTTTCTGCCTCTCATACCCATCAGGCATATCACATCAAATGGACTTCTGGATCATTTACATTTAATTCTAAATCTGAATTTACATTTAAATCTAAATACAGATTTATCTATATAAAAGAAATCTGATCTTCAGTAATTTTGTCCTAGGAGCTCTGCTTGTAATGCTTGTGGAGGCCAAACAGCAAATGTACCGTAGAACAATTCTGCATAATCATAATTGTTTTTCTGATTTCTAGGGGGGGATAAGCACAGATGCCTTCATCCCACTTTTGGAGCTTCATTGTTTCCTCTGTGTGCACATGGCAGTGATGTGTGTTGCTGGTAGCAAAAGCTTCTAGTGCAAACACAAGACTGCAGAGACCAGCTCAGCCCTCAAAGGGTGCTTCTCTTTATTGGAGACTAGAGGCCCCCATGTGGTTTGAGTGGATGCCCTAAATATCTGAGCTAGTTCAGCATTTGCTTAGCTGAGCTGGCTTTAACCTGTACTTTGAAATGTAAGAAAGCCACCAAGGCCACTGTTTGACTAAAAAGTGTTCAGGCAGAGCTGCTCATACTGTAACTTGGGACAGCTCTGCTGCTGTGATTGCCAGAGTGAGTGAGTAGGAGTCAGGCTGTACAGGCCTGGAGTGATCTATATTTTGGTGCCTGAGGTTGTGTTAGAAAATTGTGTTTAGAAAATTTCTCAGGCATCAGAGGTATGAAATAATCTGTGACACTCTTGGGATTTAGAGGTAACCAACAGCTTTAAAGCAGCTTAAATCTGTCTTTAGATATAAGTGCTTGTGCTGCTTTAATCCACTGGTGTAGAAACTCTGAAACTCAAACTGAAGTAAAGCCTGCAGTTTTGCTCTCTGAAATGTCAGTATCAGTGGGTTTAGCACACTTTCTTCTTCAATGGGAAGCCTGACTGTGCTGTCTGTGCCAGGTCTGTGGGGCTTACCTGTCCACTGACTGGAGTGAGCGCCGGCGAGGAGGGAACAAGCTGAGTTTCTTTGGAACAGGGGAGTGCTTTGTGTTTAGGGTGAGTAAAATTGTGTTGTTGCTGCCCAGTACCAAGACAGAACAACTGTACTGCTTAGCTATCACCTCCCTTCCACTTCAAGAGGCTGGATTATGTGGAGCAAAAATTTTACTTTTAAGTTTTGTGGTGACTCTTTTTCTCCCCTTGCACAAAACATTTTCTAAAAAGATCATAGAATCATCAAAGTTGAAAAAGACCTTTAGGATCATGAAGTCCAATTGCCAACCCAGAAATACTATCATGTTCATGAGTAAACTATGTCCCCAAGTGCCACATCCACACATTTTTTGAACACTTCTAAGGATGGTGTTGTGGTTTGACACTGACTAAATGCCAGGCACCCATGAAATCTGCTCACTCACCCTCTCCTGCTACAGCTGGGCAGAGGAGAGAAAATTTAACAAAGGGTCCATGAGTTAAGGACTGGGAAAAAACACTCCAAAGGCAAAACAGGCTCAACTTAGAGATATAGAGTGAATTTATAATTAACAAGACCAGAGCAGGAAAATTAGAAGTAAATTAAGCCCTTAAAAACACCTTTTCCCCCAACCCCTCCCTCCTTCCCGCCAACAGTGCAACGAGACAGGGCCTGGAGGGTTTGGTCAGTTCATCAGCCCAGGTTTTCTTCCACTGCTCAGGGAGAGGGGTCCTTCCCCTGCAATGCTGTGGGGTCCCTCCCACATGAGTCAGTTCTCCATGAACTTCTGCAGTGTGGTTCCAATCCCTGTGGTTCCAAGCAGCAGCTCCCTGCAGCCCTCTGCAACATGAGCCCCTCCCACAGACACACAGTGCTCCCCAAGCTGCTGCAGCGTGGGTCACTCTTCCACGGGGTGCACTCCTCCAAGGACAGGCTGCTCCAGCCTGGAAGCAAGGGCCCCCTCTCTCCACCAGGTCTGCAAGGGGCTCACAGCCTCCACCAGTACCCCCCTGCTCTGGCCTGGGCACCTCCCACACGGGCTGTGGGTGGATCTGCATCCCCATGGACCCCACGGGCTGTGGGTGGATCTCTGCATCCCCATGGACCCCCACAGGCTGTGGGTGGATCTCTGCATCCCCACAGACCCCCACAGGCTGTGGGTGGATCTGCATCCCCATGGACCCCCACAGGCTGTGGGTGGATCTGCATCCCCATGGACCCCACGGGCTGTGGGTGGATCTCTGCATCCCCCGTGGATCCCCACAGGCTGCAGGGAACAATCTGCTTCACCACGGCCTGCAGAGGAATCTCAGCTCCAGCACCTGGAGCGCCTCCTTCCCCCTCCTTGGTTATCACAGAGGTGTTACCTCCATTTCTAACTGGCCCAGCCTTGGCCAGCAGCATGTCCATCTTCAGAGACATCAGGGATTGGCTCTGCTGGGCATGGTGGAAACTTCCAGCAGCTTCTCACAGAAGCCACCTCTGTGGCCTCCCCACTATCAAGAACCAGGGTGTGCAAAACTGACACAGATAGTCACTCTACCCCTTCCCTGGGCAGCCTGTGCCTGTGCCTGACAACCATTTCAGTGCAGAAATTTTCATAATATTTAAACCTTCCCAGGCACAACTTGCAGCCATTTCCTCTTGTCTGTCTCTTGTTAACTGGGAGCCGAGCTTTACCCCAATGGACTCCACCCTCCTTTCATGCAGTTGTAGAGAAAGATGATCTAGAGAAGAGAGATGTAGTAAGGTAACGCAGGAGTTATTGCATCATTTCTTCAACCACCTAAAAAGCAAAGGAATCAAGGATAACATCTGGCCTAAAAGAAGGATTGAGCCAAGCTTTACTGCTGACTGTGCAGGTGGAGGCTGAGGTGCTGGAATGTTCTTTTCTGAGCAGAACTCTGTGTAGTGTGCGTGCACTAATGTCAGCTCTGCCCTTTTCTGCCTCTGCAGCTGCAGCCAGAAGTGGAACGCTACGAGTGGGTGATCATAAAACACCCAGAACTAGCCTCTGGATCAGAGACAGAAAACCATGCCCAGCCAGCTTCTGCCACCCTTTCCTCCAGCAGCATTCCCTCAGATCCTTCAGATCGCCTTTCTCCCTTCTTAGCAGCCAGGCACTTCAACTTGCCTTCCAAAACAGCCTCCATGTTCATGGCTGGCAGCAGTGAGTGCATCATTGTAGGTGAGTCCGTGTGAGAATTCAAGCACAGATCCTACCCCATCTCTTCCTGTCCACCTTAGATAGATGGTAAACATGTACCATGGAAACATGGTGCCTGACCCCTTTATCTATTTCGGTATCACCACAGGTAGAGATAAAATTGCCCAAAACCTGACATCATTTCTCAACCCAGATTTTCTGTGGGAAAAACTGCATACAAGCATTTTAGAGAAGAGAGTAACTCGTGGCTTTAAGTATACCATTACTTCATACTGCCTAATTCACAATGAGAAGTAATTCTCAAAAAGGACCTTACTTTTTCATCAAGGTTTTTGAAACACAGAGTCAGCTATAAAACATGTTAATTCTCCGGGAACTTTATTGGATCTGTGGTGCTGCTGACTTTGGCAAAAATCTTCTTAGTAAGGTTGTCACTTAAATGGGATTTACAAGGAACAGATCTAAAATCATAGTTGTCATTTTCCCAAAAGTCTTTACTTGACACTTGTTAGGAGAGCAACTGGCCTATAATTTCCTCTGTAATGTCAAGTGTTGGCTGGTTTCCCACTTGGCAGCATGTGCTCTAATCATACAATCATGGAATTGTTTAGGTTGGAAAAGCCCTCTAAGACCATCGAGTCCAGCCATTTCCTCAGCACTGCCAAGGCCACCACTAACCCATATCCCCAAGTGCCGCTTCTACATGGCTTTTGAACATTTCCAGGGATGGTGACTCCACCACTGCCCTGGGTAGCCTGTTTAAGTGCCTGACCACCCTTTCAGTGCAGAAATTTTCCCAATATCCTACCTAAATATTCCCTGGTGGTTGAGGCATTTTCCTCTTGTCCTGTCACGTGGTCCTTGGGGAGCAGAGCCCGACCCCCATCAGGTTCCACCCTCCTTTCAGGGAGGTGTTGAGTGTGATGTGTCCCACCAGCTCTTTCTACCAGCTTTAGGTAAGGGAGTCACTTCTATTTACTGTATGCTACACTATGATATACAGGCTTGGGTAGGAGATACATGGAAGTGAGTGTTGTACACAGCTCCAGCTGTGGACCAGAATTCCCATCCTTTTGATTCTTCAGATGGCTTTAGTAACTGTTCTTTGATGGTTGCCCAATAAGCAATAGGGAATCTTCCTTTTTGTTCTCCTAACATATTTCTGTCTAACTTTATTTCACTTCTCTGCGTTTTCTGACTGAAAGCTCTGTGAACCTTGACATAGACCCACAGATAACCAAAATGCTTTTAACACGTACATGGTTTATAATTATTTTGAAGACCAAGCCAGTGCTGTTACTTACTGATCTTGTTCTTCTCCCAGCTTTGATTTTTGACTACTAACAGAATTATTTGGTTTTCCTTTAATGGAGAAAAATTTGAAGTTGTAGCTTCTGATATCCTCCAGCACTGAAATACAAATCTCAAATGCGGGTAGTTTTTCTTCTTGTTGAGTTGCATTACTTTTCTTTATCACCATTGAAAGAAATCATTCAGTTCTGATATTATCATTAAAAGCCTCTACATCTGATCCTATACTGTTACATCTGAAGACAGCAAGCAGACATTACTGAGGGCTTCCAGTTATTCCCAATGGGAAAAGCACTAAATTATTTGTACAGCTGTTTGCCATGCCAAGAAATGTGGAGATATCCTTACCCTGTCTCTGTCTCTTCCCAGGAGGTGGTGATGGCCAGGCTCTGTACCTTGATGCAGATCTGAACCACGGGAGAACCAGCCACTGCAACACTTTCAATAACCAGCCACTGTGTTCTGAAAGCTTCCAGATCTCCATCCTGGAAGTGTGGGGCTTCAGGGACACCATGAATGGTTGATGTGACTATCATTGATCAGCTAGTTTTTCAGTTGTCCAAGGTACATTCCGATACAGGAGCTAAGTTAGAACATCCTTTCTGCTGGGCTCAGTGCTGTGAGTCATTCCTAAGTGGTGCACTTGGATGCAGGCCTAATTGTTTACTCTTACTTTATTTAAGACAGATCAAGGTGAAGTAATGTATCTGGTTAAGTGTTTGTCCCTTTACCTCTAGAGATCTGTATTCAGGGACTGTTGGTAAAAATGAAAATGTGATGAATTCAGAGCCATGCTAGATGGATACAGGCCCTAATCATGGGATAGGTTTGAGTCCACAGTTCCTCAGAGGCACAGCCCTGGCTGAGCTGTGCTGCAGAGCTCTGAGCCACTGGCACCAGTAGCTGGCCTGAGCCAGGAATATCAAATGTCTCCTCACAGGGAGCACTGGTGACCTCAGATCTGACATAGAAGAGTAGTTCATAAAAGTGCTGCCCTCCTATGAGCAGATGTTGTATAGACAAATCAGTACCATTAAGTTATGAAGCTTTTCATTCACACCAGAACCGTGATTGCTGATCTTCTTGTACCAAAACCTTTGACATGTTCCAGTTGCATATGTTAGAGCAGTCTGCCTCTGAGAAAGGCATCCAGGCTGGACAGTGATATGTCCAAGTCTTGATTTTGTTTACATTCCTATTCCATATCAGTATGATGACTTCTGAGTGACTCCCTGTGTCAGGCAGCTGAAAGCCAGAGAGTATCTGCAGTGCTCAGAAGTGTTCATTTCCTCATCTTTCCTGGGAACTGAAATGGAGCTTTAAATCTGAAAATGACTGTGCTGATATCTCTGTGTGTTTGGGGAATTAGACCTGGTGATAGTGGGAACTTAATCCTGTCCCCCCAAGTAAAGAAAGGAAGGCAGGAGGCAAATCTGGGAGTGAATGGATTCCTCAGGAGAACTAGAGGCAACACTGTTTCTCCAGATGTCTTCCCAGTGATGAGATCCCTCCTGAGAAGCTAACAGTTTTCTTCCTGTATGTTCTGGTAGGGTTTGGGCGATGAAAAGAGGCTTTGCTCATTCTTGAGCATTCCTGCATTCTCTGCAGGCATGCCCTGTGTCTGGAGACAGTTCCCCGGAGTCTTTATCCAAAAATTGCACTATCTGTTGTGGAAATTCTCCCACATGAAGCACAAATACATAAACATCAGTGAGTAGTCCACAGTATACAACAGGATGCTCAGAGCTTCAGTGAGTAACTCACTAGTAAGATTTATCACAACAGGGAAAATGAAGGGAAAGAGAAATTGCTGATTTTCTAAACAGTTCAATCTAAAAAATTGCTGTAGAGTGAGATTTTTACTTAATGTTATTGCTACTTAAGCTTGAAGTTCATTAAAAGAAAAAAATTTAATAATGTTAAAAGCTAGGTTGGACAAGGTCACATTCATATTCAGAGGTCTGAGGTGAGCTTTTGGTCATGCTGGCTTGTCCAGCTTGCCAGCCATGACAGCACCTCATGGCTTGGGAAAGAGTTGCCTCTTGCAGAGTATGTGAATAAACTTGGCAAAAATAAGATTTGCTTTTTAAGGTGCCATTTTGAAGTTTTGTCAAAGTAACTCTTTGAAAAATTAGCCTATGTGCAGAACAGTTTAAGATGTCTTTTGCACCATTTGTATTTGCAATTGGATTCTCTCACCCTGTCTGAGGGTCAGCATTGGGCCTCCCTTTCTCCTTCCCACACAGTGAGTTCTGCCCAGTTGTCTTTCCCCAGGTTTACCATAGGCTTGATTGAACTGCAAGAGGTAATTCAGTTATACTGATATGTTTTGATGTGGAAGAACTCAGTCGTATCTGGCTTTTTGCAAACACTGGCTGATGCTGCCTTCTATTTTTCCAAGCCACCCATGTCCCTTTGCCCTTGCAGGTATCCCACAAGCTTCCTCAGACAAAAGAAATCACTCAGAAAGCATAGATTCTACTTAGTGTAGGTGGGATTTCAGTTTGGTTTGCATCTCCTGTTTTGTGCTTGTCTGAGGAGGTGCCCTTGGGAACAAAAAGCAACTCAAAAACACAATAGTAATAATTTCCAGCTTGTTGTCAGAAATTCCCTGGAGCTGTGTGTTGGTAGGATTTGTGGGAGTATAATGTTCTACTCCAAATAATTTTATCTGCAAAAACTTGGCTGCATCTGGCAGTGTGATGGGATTTCCTCGCTCCCATCCCTGCTGGGTGCAACTATGTCAAAACCTTATCTTAAGCCATACCTAAGAAACATTCCTCAGAAACATGTTCTTTCCCTGCTCTGTTCTTGGTGCACAGAGCACCAAGATTTGGGTGTTTAGAATCTGAAATAACTCCTGGTTCCTCAGAAACTCATCATAGGATATCAGTGTGAGGATCCAAGGAGCAGGCCTGGGACTGGTTTGGCTTGGTGAAGTACTGCCCTGCCACAGCCACCATGTGGGACTGGTCTGTGTGGTTTGAACTGGAGTAGCCTGGATGAGCAAGAAGCAGCAATAACCCAGGGAGAGCAGTTCTACAGTGCTGCAGCAACTTCACACAATCCTTGTGTTCAGTAAAAATGGATATTCCTTGTCACGTGCAAGTCCTCATCCATCATTCCTCGTGTGCTTGTGAGACACCTTAGAAGAGCAGCATTTTGACTTGGTTGTCTTTCCAGTAGCAGAGAGGCATTTCTCCTGTCTGTTTAGTTAAGTTGTTGCTGACTAACTGTATATCTAAGTTCAGACCCTTTGTTTCATGCAAAACTCTTGAGATGGAGGCCATAGGCTGCTTTTGAAGACAATGGCTACAATGGACACCTTATCAGAAAGTGGAGTTATCTCAAGTACTCCAACCATCAAGTGCTTCAATCAGTTGTTAGTTGCAGCTCTGCACACCTGTTGATGTAGGCTGTAATCCCTGTTTGTGATCCTGTTTGTGATCTGGCAGCAGCAAGAGTGCCAGAGTTATGGGATGGGCTTGGGCTGGGACCTGCAAGCTGGGGTTGCCACAGTTCTGTGAGAGCATCTGTGCTTTCCTGGAAAGCTGCTTTTTGCTTTGTCATATTCCTTGAAGGCAGAAAATATTAGAAACTCCTGACATCAGAAACCTGACTTCACTGTAAATGGCAACCAAACTGTTTGCAGACCATGGCAACTGTATCCAGCTGCAGGCAGGCTGGACAGACTTCACTGCACCTGAGATGTCTTTCCTGCAGCTCCTGCACTTTGCCACACTCCTTTTTCTGATGCAGCATGTTAATCAGCCTCCTGTTAATAGAGACAAATCAGCCAAGGGAAGGGAAAAATTCTCCTTTCCTCTCTGATGACATATCTGAAGTCAAAATGGAGTGGGGGCCAGTACTGTTCTTTGAAGAGTTAAACCATGCCAATAGAGATCTGTGGTGAGCCACAGAGGGGTGACACGTGCAGATCTATGAACTGCTCTTCATGTGTGTGTATTGAAATTGTGCACCTTTGCCCTTGGAAATCCATCCTCATTTTCTGTGGAGCATAATCTCCTGTGCCCATGGGGACACTGATGCCACAGTCAGGAGCTGACCCACAGCTGTGGCACTGCGAGAGCTCGGTTCCTGCCAGTGGCACTGAGTCAGGCTGTTGGGTACAGCTGAGGCGTGGGCACCTGGCTGTTCTGCAGCTCTCTGTCATGGATTTCAGACTATTCAGAGTCAGAATGAATGTGTGTACTATTTGGGGTGATGTTTTCTTCAGATGAGTGGCGATGTGCTGCCGAGTTGGTTTTCTACCCTATATTGGAATCATGCCCTATGTCAATGGTATTTTTGTCACTGTGCAGAATCTTGGGTATTAAAGGTATTTGACTGTGGAGGCTGCTGGCTTTGTCCTTTATTGTTGTCTTTTCCTTCCTGTAGGGCTCATAGCAAAAGGCACCCTGAAACCAAGACAAACCCTGGAATGTGTGTTCTCTGACAAGGCTTTCACTGTGGTCTGGTGGTGACATCATGGTTCCTGATCATTTCAGATCTTACAAGACTTCCCCTGAGATCAGGTGTCAGACTGACTCTGAAGTCTCTAGACAGCCAATTCTGACGTGAGCCTTCTTCCCTTTGCAGGGCCAGAGAGCATGGTTTGCTCCAGCCCAGCCTAGGTTTAAAATGGAGGTTAGGGGTGTCCTCTGGCCACCAGCACCTGTAAGTTGCAATCAGACCATGGGGTGGCCAAGGATGTAAATGAAAAAAGTGGAATTCCACGAAATTTGGGGGTTTAAACAAACTGCTGTCAGGCCAAAGGGATTTGGGTATTTCCCCTCAAAAATAGTCCCACCCCCTTATATCTACCTCATACCCAAATCTGTCCACCTCGTGCTGCTGTACATTTCCAAGAGCAGAGCTGTGGTTTAAGGCAGTGCAGTGTGGAAAAGGGATTGCTGAGCTGGCAGAAGCAATTCCCAGTGGATTAATTCTCCAGACAGCTCTACCATGCCAGGAGGTTTGCTGCACAGGAAGCCCGTGGCCACTAGAGGTTCCTCTCAGCCTGGTCCTGTGCCTCCATCACCAGTAGATCTATCCTCGCAATATTAAAGAGCTTTCTTTGCATGGTTTCCAAAGGTGACCTGAGCCTTAAATACCATAAAACAGAATTTTACAACTCCCCTGAAATCTGTAAACTTAATCATGAAGGTGCTTAGCAGCAGGAAGGTGTAAGTCAGGGATAGTAAGGAGCTGAGTAGCTCAGGCAGCTGTTTTGGGACCTTGCAGCTGCCGTAAACCCAGTGACTGAGACCTGAGAGGGGAATGTGCTTGATTGCATCAGGCAGCAGAAGCCTGGTGTCCTGCCCAGAAAGCACAGAGGTGGCAAGGTCCGGGATGGTGTCTCAGGGGTGGTAGCAGCTACAGGAGCCTGAAGTGGGAAAGGAAGGCTGTGCTGTGTCTTGCTGTGCTGCCATAGTGTGAGAAGAGCCTGATGTTTGTCAGTTGTGCTTTTTTTTTTTCTAGATTTTCTGTACAGGCTTTTATGTAAATGTCTCAGAGATACCTGCTTCCTTGAAAGATGTTTTATAACCAGCTGTGGCACAACGTTGCCTCTGGCAGCAAATTAGAGGGTTTTCTGCCTTTTCAAGCCCCTCTGAAAACTGGGTGTTTTCAGCTCTGCCCTGCTATTGCCCTTCCCAAGCACTGCTTTGGGCTGTGCCTGAGCCTCTGGGAGGGTCGTGGCTCCACTCCTTGTCTGTACTCTGGTGGGACAGGCTGCTGCCGACTGATGACCACACAAACAGCTCGTGGGTGGAGCTGGGTACAGAATTCAGCTGGGGAAAAGTGGAGCCTGTTTGTTCCTGCTTTGCAAGCCTGCTGCTGGGCAAGGGTAGATAAGGCCCCAGGACTGCTGGCACTGTCCTGAACCGGGGGATGCACCTCCCAGTGCTGACACAGCTTCAGTCCATGGCCCCATGGTGAGTCACCTCCCTTTCCATGGTTAAATGTCCTCCAGAGTTACAGCTGTGCCCTCCACATGTCATTGACTGAAGGGTTTCTGACTGGGCTCGTCCTCCCGATCCCTCAGCCATGAGATGAAGGAGCCAGGTCTGGAATCCCATGGGGAAAAGTGCAAGCCCAGCAAGGCAGTGATCAGTACCCCATCCTCCCAGTCTGTGTGAGGCTGGATCCTGTGTCCCATAAATTTACACATTTTTGATCTGTGAGCATTCCAGAGCAGCACTGGCTGCAGCCAGAACTCTCCCACCGGCAGTGGCTGGGGCACAGTCTGTTCTTCTTCCTTAAACATCCTCCTCGTGCTGAAATCCTCCTCCTTAAACTTCGCTGGGTTTATGTGAAGACCCATTTTTGCTTCCTCACTCTCAGAAGCTCTTGACCAATTTCTCTCCTAGAACATTTTTTTTCCTTTTGCATTCTTACCTGCTGCAGGGGTCTGAGTACACCATTCTTGGCACTCAGCTTGATGATCCTCTTAATTCAAGCCTAAGAAAGACCACAACTCAAACAAGGTTGGCTGCTCACTGTGAATCCTGCAGAGCAACAACTTGTCCAGTTTTGTTCAAGGGAGGCTTAGGGCTGAAACTCCACAAGCTATCACTGGTGAGCTGGGTCTAGGTGTACATCTGTTGTATTCATATTGTTGCTATATTTCTAGAGTCCAAACTCTCAGGCTGCCACAGCTCTCAGCTGTCCTATCTTCTATTGTTGTTATCATATTTCTAGAGTCCCACACCTTCTGGGTGGTTTTCTCACACACAGCTCTTCACAGCAGTGCTGTTCCTGCTTCTTCATCAGGGCTCCTCCAAGGCTCTCCCTGACCAGCCAGCCCACCCCCTTTTATCCCAGTTATCTTCACTAGCCACAGCTGCCACCCAATTAGGGACATCACAGCTGCAGCCCATTTAGAACAACTAGGATCGGGGCAAGGCCACTTATACAATACATAGATTTTACTAAGACTCCTACTATATACATCCAGGCCAGTATCTTGTCCATGGACTCCCTGCATGGCAAATCACACCTGCCTGAGGTTAGCCCTGCCAGCTCCAGCAGCACAAAGCCAGTGGCTGTGCGGCTCCTGCTGGACTGTGCTGCCCTGCAGTCTGGGTTCTAGCAGCCAGCTGGCACAAGGGGTACATCTGCCTCAGCCCTTGGCACCCCCAGGACCAGCTGTGTCTCTGTACCCTCAGCTGGACAGCAGGATAACCCTTGGGCACAGCACAGCAGTGGAGGCAGCTTCCTCACTGCCTCCACAGCCAAAATGCTGCAGGACTCCCCCATGGCCCCACTCAGACCAAGTTGTTGGGGAAAGAGGCAGCAATGTCTCAGAGATCTGAATTTCCCCAGGTTTGGCTGCCTGTTCCACAGAACCAGGCAGTGAATTCCAGCACTGCTTGGCTGTGGTGGGGCTGGAGCCCTGCTGGGGAGCAGAATGCCCCCCAGTCACCCACCCTTCAGACAAAGCCAGAGGAGAATGGATTTCAGCAGTTCCACAGCTCACAGAAATAATTATGGATGCTTCTGTAAGGATCTGCCCAATGAACAGCACAACCTCTCTCTCAAGTTCATTAAGCTTTTTTTGCACTCCAGAGCACCAGCCACAGCTCCTGCAGGATGCTGTGCTCTTGTGGGACAAAGTATTTCCCAGAGTCATGGCTTTCCTCACAGCCCACCATGGGTTGTGCCCCAGGGTTGACTCCAGCTGAGAAGCTGAACTCAGCAGTTCAGCTCAAGGACTGCTGAGCCATAGCTCCCAGAATTCCTCAGCATGTGGGTCTCCTCAGGATGGCTTTCTTCCCTAA